TATTGTACTGTTAACAAATTCTATTACTATTCTTATGGGAATATTTATCAGCTACAACTTTGCAGGAAACCGTTTTTCAGCGAAACGTCAAATTAAAAAGTTATTAATTGTTTAAGAGATTGATAACACTGTATTCTGCAGTGTAACATAGTAGCCATGATTTTTGTCCTCTATTCTACGCGCCATAAACACCAATGTTGCCTGCTGAACAGTTGATTGAGCATAATTATAAGACATCAGTAGCTTGAATCATTAATAATGTTTGTTCCTTACATTTGATCGAAAAATGGTCTTTAACAAAGTTGTAGCTGAGAAAATTTTCAACAAGTGCAGTTATCATTTTCTAAATTAGAGTGAACTGGTGAATTTTGAGATAGATATGAACCGAAATTATGGTTTCTCCATAGTAATTCTCATATAAACTTCAAATGGTTTGTGCCAAGTCAGTTTCTCACTAAATGAGTTCAAATTTTGGGAGGATAATCAAGGCCCAATTTGGTACCGTTTGGGCACTGTGGAGCGAAAATTTCAAATTTTACATCAGTCTAATGTCCACGCATCCTTCCATCCCTGTAGATTCAAGAAATGTTCCCATTCATTTTCAAGAATCATCTTTGTGGCAAATACAACGCAGTAGGCCTGGCCGTATTGATGGGTATATCATATCTCAGATATGCTGTAAACATCAATTAGACAAGAAAAATGATTAGACCTCATCTAACCTAATCATTTTCCAGGATGCTTTCTCGTACTGGCTGCGTTTGTATTAGATTTAGATTAGATTAGATTATGGTGTAAAAATTGACTTTTTAGTTACTGTCTTAAAAATAGTGACCTAGCCACTAAAACGTGATACCGTGCGGGACCGAAATCCGTACAGCACCGAAATCCGTACACCCTGTTGAGTTTGTTTATTTGTATGCATCATAACAATGTAAATATTTTACATGAATACATATTCATGTTCATTCATGCATCAGCTTGATGTTTACTTCAACAATTAAGCAGTATAACATGCAATTAAAATAAGAAAAATAAAAACCTTATCACGTGTCGGGCATTTCTGTCAATCGGTTGCGTTCTTAACGATTTTCTAAGAAAATGTCTCGGATTTACTTCCAGTTGTTAAGCGTATTTAAGTGATTTTTGCAAGTAGTTTCCTGAAGGTCGATCGGAAAGGTAAGTGTTTATCGTTTTATATCTCAATTTATATTCAATTATAAGCAATGGATCGTTCATATGGTATTTATTTATCAAAATTAGTACTGTACGGATTTCGATCCATATATAACAGCTGATTCTAAATCCGTACACTCGTGCATCACTAATGACGATTCTACTTTATCCAATGTTTTTCAGCAGATCATGGAAACTAAATACACGCCGGAGGATTTGGAGAAGACTGTGGCAATTATGCGTGCGGAGAAATCTTACCGAGAAGCATCCAGGGATTTTGCCGTTCAATTCACCACCATAAGAGATGCCGTATTGAATCGCTACTCTCTTATTTTATTCGTATTGTAAACTTTATATTACTAATATCTTTTAATGAAGAGCGTCAAGAACCAGCCGAAAAGTAAAACAACGCAGCTCCCCTACAGGATATCACCAACACGCATATACAAATTAGGGACCATGCATAAATGACGTAGCATTTGAGGGGGGAGGTGAGGGTTTCAGAATTTGTGACCGGCCATGTATTGGATATAGCCAAATACGCTACGAGGGGGGGGGGGAGGAGTATAAAATTGATCAAAAATATGCTACGTCATTTTTGGATGCTCCCTTACAGAGAGCAGACAGAAATGGGCCAGAGAGCATTCCCAGCTACCAGCGAGGAATGACCGGAAATACACATGAAAGTAGTGCGGGCGAAAATTGATAAAGAGTATGGCGCATCTTGCACGTTATCACATGTCAAATTTCAAAAACCTCGAAGTTTTGATCGGAGGAAAACTCCAGTAAGAATATTTAACCCAAAGCACTGGTAAAGAATAAAATTTGGAAGAAATTAATCCTTAAACATGATATTAGTTAGCATGAAAATCCAGAACAGTTACCTTCTTAAATAAAAAGAATTCAGTTACCTCTCCTTTGAATCGATGCTCCACAATTAATCTAACGTTAATGTTTAGTTAAAAAATTAAAAGTAAAAAAAATGAACTTGAACCTTTGAAGAATGATTCTTATGTAAAATCGTGCACTGAATTCAACAATGTAGTCGAAAAAAATGTCAGTAGGATAGTTTTTGAGATACAGTTAAAAATGAAAATTCACTTTAAACAAGTTTGATTACTATAATACAAATATCTCCGGTTGTAATGAGATTATATCAATTATTTTAACGCTAAATTAGAGGTAAGAAATTTTTTCGTTCGATCAATTGAACATCAATTGTCAGTGAGATTGATGGTATTGTTGTTAGTTAATAGTTTGTTTTTTAAGTTTTCCTAAGAAAAATTGAATTTCTGCTATGTTTTTAAGCAATGTTAATAAAAATGTTAACATCACTTCATTGCTGCCAGAGATATTTGTGTTTTAGTTTTTTTTAACGTGAGATTTCATTTTTTAGCTAGGGGAAGGAGGGGCATAGTGAACAGGCGTGGCATAGTGAGCATCCCGTACTTTGGCTCTGGATCTCCAACTGCATGGAACAAATCAACTGGTAGTAGGATCAATATCATTAAGATATTGATCCTACAGCCAACAAATTTGTTCTGAACGACCGGAAGTCCAAGCTGGAGCACGCGCGATGCTCACTATGCCCCACCTGTTCACTATGCCTCTCTTACCCCTATATCTTCAAAACTATCCTAGCGAGATTTTTTTGACTATATTTTTGGATTCAGCGCACGATTTTACATGGGAAATGACCATCAGCGTACAAAGTTCAAATATGCTGTAGACTAGTGTATTTAAACGAATATAGCTGTTTTGGACTCTTAGCCAAGCAACTACAAAAAAAAATACTTTATTCAAGATAGCAACACTTTTTTTTTTCATTGACTTGGATCGATTTACATTCATGTACGGATTTTGATTCATGACTGTACGGATTTTAATTCATCCTCAACACAGTGTACGGATTTCGATTCAAAACTGTACGGATTTTGATTCAATCGTAAAACGCTGTACGGATTTTGATTCAAAATATGTGCAATTTAAATGTAAAAGAAAAAGATGTGATACAGAGCATAATGTGATAGCATTATTAAGTATTGACCGTTAATGATTCTCTCGTGCTTAGGTGTACGGATTTCGGTCCCGCACGGTATGCTACCAGCCCAGTGATATAAAGTTGTTTGGATGCTTCTAGGAACTAGGACACTGCATTCTTAACTTATATAATAAAGATTATAAGATTAAGTAAAATAATTTAAATTTCTTACTTAGGAGAAATCGGCAATACCTTTACCGAGTATCGTCAGGGGGTACCAAAAGTCCCTGAGCCGCGCTCAAATTTTGCCAATCAATGCTCCTCATGCAAAAAAAAAAGTGCGCTCTACAACTTTATTTACCCCCTGACGATAATGTAAAGGTATTGCTGCAGCCGTCAATGACCATAATATTTATTTTTCTTGCCATTTTACAGAGTGAGATTAGGTAAGGTATTGTGATATTTTTCAAGGTGTCAGCTATACTTAGATTTACTTTACGACATGCTTTCTTATATGCATGTTTTTGAGTAATTCTAGATGAACATTTCAAATGGTCCTATCTGCTTTGATCGATTCTCTTTATCGACTTTCTCTTTCGTTAATAACTCAGCTGCAAAACCTTTCCCTGTTGTATTTGACGTTTTGGACGCTAGATAAGAACCTCCTTTATCGAACTATGTGGTAGAATTAGCGCGAAATCTGTTTGCATAGCAGTGGTTATGAAAAGAGAATGTCGATGAAGAGAATCGATCAAAGCAGATAGGACCATTTGAAATGTTCATCGAGAATTCTTTAATGACGTGAGGCATTCTATTTTGTAAGTTATTGTTTAAAGGTTTTCAATATTCACAACAAATTAGATCGATTATGATGTCTGCTAACTAACATTACCTGCACGTTACGACTCATGTTTAAGGGAACTAGCAATCAAAACAATGAAAGGTCGGTGCGAATAAAAGCAACAATTGAATTAAATATTGATTACGCACACTTTTTCTCCTGATTACCACTTTTATTTCTCATTCACCACGAACTCCAGTATAACTGGTTGCCTCACCCGCCACCCAGAGCCAGCCAGCAAATCGCTCCCCTCTGTACATAACAACGCAACACCCTTCACCTGCCATGTGTCTGGCCCTCGGCAGAACAAAAATCGGGATGAAGAAGTTAATCTTCTCTCCGGCTTCTGATTCTGGGTGAGTTGATCCACAAAGAAGGCAACAAAAATCCCGCACCAGAGGCCTATCCTGCACACATCTACCTACCCACATTGCACAACGTGTATGTGCGCCTCCATTGCCAACCATTTTGTTCCGTCGGTCGGCCTCAAGGCTCAACGATTTCGATGTTGGTCGACGTTTGCTAGCTGCTGCCTGCTGTGTTTGAGTGTGAGCAATACAAGCAAATCGTCAGAGCCACCACCCCCTACCATAGTCGAAGCAATCATTCTCCCGACGGCGTTAGCACCTTAGCAACCAATCCAATGCGATCGATGCGACGGAAGGCGAGGCTCCGACTTCTTTTGCTCTCTTTCTCACCGCTCGCTTTTCTCAAGCTATGCTCAGTAGAGTTCAATGTGTATTGGTGTGCGGTGGGAGAGGATCATCATAACCACCCAGTCGTCGTTGGTGGTGGTAGCGGCCCACTGCTGACTGCTGACCGGATGGGAGGGTGTGAGTGATCGCTCTTCTGGATTTGTGTAGTAGAGCGGCTTTCGCCTTTCATGTTCCAACGCAACGCATACCATTAGGAAAACTGCTACTATGTGTTGGTGTAGTTTCGTGTAGGAATTGAAAATTGTGACACCTCTCGCCGCTGGAGTTGATTTAGTTCAGTGCCGACCATTCGCGGGGTATGTTGTGTACTGTTGTGACCGTTTGCCCCATCTCCGTGTGTAGTCGTGTATTTCGAATATACGTGTGGACAGTTTTTCCGCTGCGGAGCGAGTCCTTTCCACACCCGTAGGGGATTTGCGTGTTCTGAAAGATCGATTCCTCAAAGGAATAGCCGCGTAATCCACGTGGATTTTCGCTCATCCTCGCGCACGTTGTGGAATTAATTGGATGCGCGGGATTGACTCGATGTTGGTGTGTCTCATTTTTGTTTAATGATTTTGTCGATTCAAACAAAGCGTAACGGAGCGCGTTGGATGGTAATTGCAATAGAAAACCCCAAATTGGTCAATGCCACTCCTGTTTATTATTTATTAATCGTTTGATGACTCGCAATGAGGGAGAAGTGATTAAACTTGAGACGAGTAAGACAGCGGATCAAAGCCCCCCACACAATCACCGCTAAGCCAACAACGGGGGGAAAAGCAACAGCCCGAAAGAAAATCTGTGTTTATGGATCTCTTTCCCAAGAGAAGCGAAAACAAAAAAAAAGTATTATCTATTTGAATTATACGGCTGGCAATTAAAAATTCAGTGATCTTTAAGTTCGACCATCGTAAATCACACCCAACAGCGTCAAACAATACTCCGCCTGCTATCGGGCGCGTATGAAGGCGGAAATAAGCCAGCCCAGCTTGTTCAACAAATAGTTAATCAATTTCGGTGGCAATAAAATAGAGAAAAAAAAACCAACTGATCCTAATCAGTTTCTGCCGGTTCCAAGCTCCTCGTAGTTGGGCCAAGCTCAATCAACAAGTGCATGTGCCTTAACTAGTCCGTGGATAGTGATCGTAAAACGTAAATAAGCTTGACTTAACCCTCGGTTGCCGATCGTTGACCTTAAGGAGGAAATTGGAGGAAGAAGGAAAATTAAGTCGCCACCAGAAGTGTACGACGGATATGTGGCGACGGCGGAAGTGATTTACTAGTGAACCAATACGTGAAACTGTTTGCCAAGAAGATAGCTCTGTGATCTGTAGGTGGTAGCCGTTAGAAGAAAGGTGTTGAAATTGTGTGAAAATTTGATCCCACCAACCAAAAAAATCATCCTATATGGTAATGGCGGAGATCGGTGGCCCATTGGCGCACCAGTTGAACCCCTTGCAGAACCACCGGGGAGGTCTAGTGCAGCCGTCGCTGGTGATGAACCATCACCTCGACCCGCTGGACAACGGAGGGGGAACGTGCCATGCGCCCAATATACTTCCAAGTAAGTCGCTGGGACATCGCCGGTTTGGTGGATATGCTTCGCTATTGATTGTTGGGCTTTTAATATGAAGATGGAATACGTAGTGATCTTTAGTTTTATGTTTTAAAATTCAAATTTACCGATGATATGAACACATTAATTGTTGTGATAATTGATAAAGAACGTAGTGAATATGATGCACTGCTTATCTTTTAAGGGCTACATTTTTACTCGCATTAAAACGGAGCTCCACGCTTACAATTATTCAAAATATAATCTTACAGTGCAGTGATAGCTATTGTTTACCGAATTATATCTGCTGTTCACTTACAATAAGGCGGTTTGCTTTAGCAGTCTTAGGGAGCGTTTGGAAACTGCAGTTTACCCGGAATTTCGGTCCGTTTTGGGACCTTCTACAAAGGATCGATTGATACAGTTTTGTAAACATCGAAATGTGGTGATATGATAAACAATGGTGAAAGATCGAAACGTCAAACGTGTCGAACTTCAGATCATATTCTATGAAGCACATTGTCCACAACAAGCCTATTGCAATCCGGTCGAACTCAAAATCAGCACCATTCCAAAAGAGACATTTCATTGTAACCAAGCATTTTTGACAAAGAAACTGTAACAATCGATCCCTTGAAAAAGGCCACAAACGGGCCGAAACGTTGGGTAAGGTCTAAAACTATAGACTTCAATCTCCTCCTAATACTACTGAACCTAACCACTATTCAAGTATATCATCACAATCGAACAATTCATAGCAATTCACGTAATCTGAACAAACAAATAAAACATGACTATAATCAGTGCGGAAAGTAACCCGTTTAAACTTGTCTGCCACTGTATTGAGGTATTCAAGTTGCCGTCGGTAGAATTGTAGTGTCATGGTCGTAATTGCGAATTGGGCCAAAAATCCCACTCGGAACGTTGAGCTGTGAGAATTGCAAATGTTTCAAGCTTTGTCAGCGTCAGAGCATGATTCTTATTCGTTATCAAGATGGATATTTAAGGTATAGTTTGGTGCTGAAAAAGTGCAAGGGTTTTGTTAAAGACCATCAAAAGGGGGCTATACAATCGAGAAAGCACTGTTTTCAATTTAAAAATATATTCTGAATAAATCCTGCAATCACAATGAAACTCCATTGGATGTTGTGTAAGGTAGTGGTTTCAATCTTAAGGTTATTGCGACTCAGTTTGAAAAATTGTATGTACTCGCTGCCTGCTATTTTTGAGCTTTTTAATCAAGAAAACAAGTAGAGTAAGTGTGTTAGTTTTGGTACCCGTGTGTGTGTGTGGCTTCAGCCCCTGAGGCCTAAATAGGATTTGAAATTATTATTTTAATTATTTATTATAGAGGTTGTATCATTAAAAATATGATGTGAAATGCTTTTCATGATATTATTTGCGCAGATATATGGTGAAATATATGTTGTAACGTTGTAACGAAATAAATTTTGTGAACAATGAGAATATGTGAAATTGTAGATAGGGCCAAAAACTGGCACAATACATGTTCAATTTGACATAATAGTCAATTTCACGACCAAATTTTATCCTCCATTTTTTCAATCTCTTTTTATCGCAAACAAACCACAAATGCTGCAGGAAAATGCGACTAGATCTAGGTCACGAATTATTCATAAGAAAGAATTTCTGAATAAAATCTTGAAATTGGGGTCTTTGATTTTGAAAAAAAAAAACATTTCGGTTTCTATACATCTTCTAAAAGGGCATCATTTTCCGAGCACAACGATATTTTTTTAGATCCCATTTACTTCCATCTCGATTTTTAAATCAATATTTACAGCAAAATAATCACTCCACTGTTTGACACAAAACTAACAAATTGACAGCTCGCTTCCATACAAAGTATTACCGAGGGACACTAAGATGGTGATTTTTGCTAAAGTAATCACATTTATTTAAAATAGTTCCAGTGCTCAAAAATTGATAAAAAAAAATTGAATTCAATTCCATTTGTAATGCAGATTACGAATATGCAATTACCTCAATACCCCTAAAGAATTCAATTGAAATGTAATTAAGATTCAGGGACAATTTTTCGTGATCTGTAATCGTGGTGAAATGAAATGTTTTGTTTTTGCAGCTGTATTTATTTTAATCATTTTATGAACCTTCCAAACACGCTTGACGATTTCAAAAGTGTTCAAAAGTGCTCGTGAGTCAGACAAGAAGCTTTAAAAATATGTCCTAGTCGAGGAGAATCGATTCCAAAAAAATAAGTGCCCTGATGAGGAGAAGGCGTTATTTTTTCGTGGGAATATTCCGGAACCGATTCGCCGGCAATATGAATACCTCTAGAGTGCGTAAAAAACCGTGAGTAATGTGGTTTAGTGTCGAAAATAAGATGAAAAGTGCAGTGACTTTTTCGTTTTCTATAATAGGACTTGGGATTTATCTTGTCTGCTGGTAGCAGTGCTGCAAAATCTCGACAATACACGGTGATATTGACAATTATGCTTTGGTCATTCATTTGAGCTAACAAGCATCGTCATGGCAAACCATGTTAATTGTCAATGACAGTGCGGTCAGTGACGAACCTGTGTAGATTTGTTTATTAACTAAATTTGTAACGAAATTAAAGGACTTGAGCAACACAATTACATGGAGCCGGTAAAGTGAACAAGCATCTACGTCATGAACTGCTTGGATAACAATAATTTGTCTCCACGAAATTACACTTTTTGTTGCAAGGTGAATTTTTGTCATTGACGAAAAATGAATGAAATTTTAACGAAGGTTTTTTTGAGGATCAAGTCTGTCAGTGACGAAAGTCTGTCAAATCTCAGCAAATCTGGCTGGCAGTAGTCTCAGCTTGCCGCTTGCTTGAGATTTTATAATACTGCTGTTGGAACAATGTGTGTCAGCCGGCTCAAAATTTGGTGATATCCAACATGAAATGCATTGATAAATGCAGTAATTTGAAAACTAAATACGACAGCGCATCGTTTGCTGGCTGTTCCGCGGGTCTTGTGTATTTTCCAGGTACCCGGTTCAAGCTTCAGTTGGCTGCGGTGGCTCTTCTTTTCCTTCTGCCATTGAATAGATAGTGCGAATAAGGGCGTATATGTGATCTGTTGCTGTACCTGGTGTGGACATTGGTATGACATTAGTACATCCTTTTCCTTAAACTTGTTGAGGACGACCTTTCTTGTCTCAAAAGTTATCCTTTTTAAAGTACTGATCTTCAAAACAAAAAGGGCACCATTACGGAGCATTAGATTTGATCAAATTATTCGCAGTTCTACTTGACCAACGTTCTACTTGAAAATTCCCAAGATCCCGGACTCAGAAACTTTTCCACAATGCTGGGACTTGTAACAAAAAGAAACATAGAAAATTTGACACGGGCCCATTATTTAAAAAAATTTAAAACTCTGCGCTTGCGGATTAAGAAATTCAATAAAGGAAACGTTCATTTATGGGATATAATCCTATTTTGGCCATGTTTTGGCTTTAGTTAACGTTTTTTACAAGTCTTGAGTTCTGTTTTTTTTTAAATTTATTTATTTGTACAGGCTCAATCGAATAAACTTTACAGAGCCAAATTATCTTTCATTAATTTATTCCGAGCTTGCTCAAACTTTGTTCAGTTTATCCTATTCATTTAAAAAAATAAAATTTATCAATTTGATTGATTTCGCACGTGTAACGTTAATTTGAAAATTTTACTGAATTGTTCTGCTGTTCAAAAACCCGGTAAAACTCTCCCGACTTCGATGATCTGGATTAAGTATGCACCTAAGAAGAACATGAACATTTTTCACGACTATGGGATTTTTTTGAGAACTAAATTTAAAAATCCCGTGCTTCGAAAATTGTGCAAGACCCTGATCATTGAAAAAATATTAATAAATTAAAATTACTTTGCTTGATAAATTAGCAAGAGAGTGTTGCTTAACAGTTTTTTTTTTCGATATGAACCAGCATTTGGCTGAAAGGTTTCCTTGTCATCCAATATCTTGTGTGGTTATGCCCAGGGAAGTCGAGCAAATTTTCAACTCGAAAGATTGCCTGGACCGGACCGAGAATTAAACCCGCCACCTTAGGCTTGTTAATACTGCCGTACAACTGACTAAGCTACCTCGAGGGAGACGACTCTATCTATCTACGCTGCAGGAAAGATTGTGTTTTGCTGTGGCTAGCTGCGCGCGCGCTGAGTAAATAGAAAGAAGATTGATTCTGGAGATTTCCTGCAAAAAGAAAATGGACAATGCAAGTAGATGCGAGAAATGAAAAAAGATTTTTCGAAGATTGATTCACTAGTGTGAGATTTTTTGAGCATCTAGAATTGAGATTCAGATGTGTTGCCCCCTACCCCTGCGAGCTACCTGAAGCTCCAATTAAGACCACGAGATCTCAGAGTTAGACACATTTTCATTATTATTATAGGGATTCCAAAGGTAGAATAAAAATCTGACCCAATTTATAATCAGGATTTTAAAGATATCAGACTTCGAAATTTTTTGAAGATTATTATCTTTGAAAAAAGAATTTGCATGAAAAATAAAATTTAAAACAACAAACAACATAGATTGAGAAACGCTTCACAGTGAGCGACTCTGAACAAAACCTGGAAAAATTTCTGAAAGGCCTTTAAAAGAGCCTCTAGAGGTTTCTTGCGTTCCATTTCAAAGCTAAGAACCATTTTCATCCAAATTGGCCAAATTCGGAAATGGAGCCGGAACGAGTACTCGCAAGAAAGTGACCAAAATCGGGTTTTAATTGAAAAATCGTCATGTGATATTTTTATAGTCTTAAGGCTGATGCAAATATTCCTTTTATTTTTATTTCCCGACTTCACCAACCAAACCACTAAACCAAATTGATGTATTATTAACATCTTATTTTATATTAAATTAAGAAAAAATATAATTTGTTAAGTTTAAGGATAAAGCGTAGAAAAAGTGATGATTTTGAATAGCGCTGATTTTTTTTTCCATATTTGGTAATTTGGGTAACATAAAATGAAAAAAAAATGTTTCTGCTTA